CATTATTAACATTATTGTGATGTTCACTGATACTAGTACTAATTTATTGAAACAAAGAACACAATTACCACATAGCAAACATATTTTACCATGCAGTAAATGCATCAAATGAAAGTAACATCTGTAAAATAGTGAATGCACACTTACTCTAAGATTCTGAACGGAGTTGAAAACTGAATGAGTGTTCCCCCCCCCTTCCTTTGAGAGATGCAGGTGAAGGCAAGAGTGGTGTATTCCCTACAGTACCTTAGTATAGTATGCATACTTCATGAGAAAACAATGCCTATTCTAACATTTTAACACTATCAACCACACATAATATTACCACATATTCTAGGAATAATACAATTATTATACTGTGCACTTACTCAGTATGGTTTTCCAACGAACTCAAAACTGAACGGCATGCGTGTGCCTTTCTTGTGCAAGATGCCGGTGATGCAGCCACAGTCCCAAACGAAAATTGAAAGTTTCAAACATTTCAGCGCCATTACTCCATAAGTCACGGGTATAACACATTCAAAATATTTACACCAGAGCAGATATTCATGAACAGAAGCTTAGTTACATTCATAAACACAAGCATGCTTTGTATGTAGGCCTATACAATCCAAAAACTATAGTTATAAACATATATGGCTATATTCGTGAACAGAGAATATCCTATCACAGTAAAGTTTTGACTAATCATTCTTACTGACATTAGGCTAGAAACATTATAACTCATATTACTTTTATATCGTATTTCTGTCTATGATATAGAACATTAAAAAACATCCCGACATCGTGAGACATTTAGATGCTGTGAATGAAACTTCATAATATTTCACTTGATTATACATTTAGTCAGGAATTATAGTTTGCAAAAAGTCTAACTAGTAAAATGTGTACAAGTTATGTGAAAACTAATACAAGTAGGTTAATAAAAAATAATTATTCATGTTTATGATCACTGCTGGATCAAGCCGCTGCATTGTTTTTTCCTGAGGTAATCCAAAGCTTCTTGAGGTGAATTCTGTCTTATTCCTCTCAGCGTGACGCGAACAGTAAAATTAAAAAACTTGAGGTCTTGCTGCTTTGTTTGCTGTGATGTGGGCGTTTACACGCCACGAGCTTCACATGGACGATTATAATATCTATAGCGCGCTCTGCACGTGGACGCATTAAATATAATGAAGGGAGACGTCAAAGACTGGACATCGCGTTGGTTTCATATGGATTACTTTATCACCGAATATTTGCTTTCAATAAGACTTGCTTATTTTAAAAGTAGACATGTCAAGCTTTCTATAGATATATCTCTCATGTCTCTTTGTTGAGTATTTGCTGAGTTACAGTTAATTTTAATGACGCGTTTCTAAATGAAGATCATGCAGACCAAGGCAGCAGACAGCCCACCCTGTTTGTTTTCTTTATTTTATAAATGCACAAAGTGTTATGTATCTATACAAATAAAAGTAGACCATTTACAGATTTGATTGATGTATTGCTCTTATCTGTAAGATAAAAACTGAAAGTGTAATTTAAGTTATTTTCGGTGTTATCAGGAGAAGATGCCACAAAACGTGTATCCGCGTTTGTCGACCCCAAAGGGTTAAGGTAAAGGTGATGTCGGAGACTCTGGAGGACCTGCTTCACGTGGTGGCGATGTTCTGCCAGGTTCTGTGAATATATGAGGATATCATCGATATAGACTATCACGAAGCGATGAAGGAACTCCCGGAACACCTCGTTCATGAAGCCTTGGAAGACTGATGGTGAGTTAGCTAGGCCATACGGCATGACCCGATATTCATAGTGGCCTGCGGGAGTTATGAATGGCGTCTTCCACTCGTCGCCTTCCCGGATATGAACAAGGCTGTACGCTCTCCGCAGGTCTAACTTGAAGATGCGGGCTCCACGGAGTTCCTCGAGGGAGGCTGGGACCAGGGGAAGTGGATATGGCAGCTTTACCGGCAGCCATATCATACCCTTTAGCCCAAGACTGGTTGTCCACTGAGCCTGGTCAGTACCTGGATGGGAGACCTCCTAGGAAAACTAGGTTGCTGCTGGAAGAGCTGTTAGTGAGGCCAGCAGGAGGTGCTCACCCTGTGGTCTGTGTGGGTCCTAACGCCCCAGTATAGTGATGGGGACACTATACTGTCAACAAGCACCGTCCTTCGGATGAGATGTTAAACCGAGGTCCTGACTCTCTGTGGTCATTAAAAATCCCAGAATGTCTTTCGAAAAGAGTAGAGGTGTGACCTCGGCATCCTGGCCAAATTTGCCTATTGGCCTCTGATCATCATGGACTCCTAACAATCCCCATAAGACATGTCAAGCTTTCTATAGATATATCTCTCATGTCTCTTTGTTGAGTATTTGCTGAGTTACAGTTAATTTTAATGACGCGTTTCTAAATGAAGATCATGCAGACCAAGGCAGCAGACAGCCCACCCTGTTTGTTTTCTTTATTTTATAAATGCACAAAGTGTTATGTATCTATACAAATAAAAGTAGACCATTTACAGATTTGATTGATGTATTGCTCTTATCTGTAAGATAAAAACTGAAAGTGTAATTTAAGTTATTTTCGGTGTTATCAGGAGAAGATGCCACAAAACGCGTATCCGCGTTTGTCGACCCCAAAGGGTTAAGGTAAAGGTGATGTCGGAGACTCTGGAGGACCTGCTTCACGTGGTGGCGATGTTCTGCCAGGTTCTGTGAATATATGAGGATATCATCGATATAGACTATCACGAAGCGATGAAGGAACTCCCGGAACACCTCGTTCATGAAGCCTTGGAAGACTGATGGTGAGTTAGCTAGGCCATACGGCATGACCCGATATTCATAGTGGCCTGCGGGAGTTATGAATGGCGTCTTCCACTCGTCGCCTTCCCGGATATGAACAAGGCTGTACGCTCTCCGCAGGTCTAACTTGAAGATGCGGGCTCCACGGAGTTCCTCGAGGGAGGCTGGGACCAGGGGAAGTGGATATGGCAGCTTTACCGGCAGCCATATCATACCCTTTAGCCCAAGACTGGTTGTCCACTGAGCCTGGTCAGTACCTGGATGGGAGACCTCCTAGGAAAACTAGGTTGCTGCTGGAAGAGCTGTTAGTGAGGCCAGCAGGAGGTGCTCACCCTGTGGTCTGTGTGGGTCCTAACGCCCCAGTATAGTGATGGGGACACTATACTGTCAACAAGCACCGTCCTTCGGATGAGATGTTAAACCGAGGTCCTGACTCTCTGTGGTCATTAAAAATCCCAGAATGTCTTTCGAAAAGAGTAGAGGTGTGACCTCGGCATCCTGGCCAAATTTGCCTATTGGCCTCTGATCATCATGGACTCCTAACAATCCCCATATCTGCTAATTGGCTTCATCACTCTGTCTCCTCTCCACCAATAAGCTGGTGTGTGGTGGGCATTCTGGCGCAATATGGCTGCCGTCACACTGCACACTGGTGGTGGATGAGGAGATACCCCCTGACAATGTAAAGCGCTTTGAGTGCCTAGAAAAGCGCTATGCAAATGTAATGAATTATTATTATTATAATTACCGTCTGGGAGTTCAGAGTGCGATAATAGATACACGGCCTCAAATGCCCATGAAGAAGAAGCTTGAGGCAGCTGGTGAGGTGGATGGTTGGATGAATCCCTGTTTGAGAGCCTCCTGGATGTAATCCTCCATGGCCTTGCACTCCGGGATGGACAGAGGGTATACTCTACCCTTGGGGAGTTTCATCCCAGGCAGCAGGTCGATGGCACAGTCCCATGGCCGATGAGGTGGAAGGCGGGTGGCGGCAGAGTTCTAGGGTTCTTAGCTCTGGGTATTGAGTTTGTATCCTTTGCAGGTATCCAGGGATGATGAGAACGGGATCAATGGAGCTTCTAGGGGAAAGTAAACAAACAGGTCAGACACAGGTAGGAGTCAAGGCTAAGTTCAAGCTGGTGACCGGTAGACCGGACAGTGAGGCAGTGAGAGGAGTGCAGGGATTTGTGTTAACATCGCAAAGGCCTTTAGATTACACTGACCGACTTTGGTGTTTCTCTTTCTTCCTGTTCACCTGCCCTATTTAGTTCTGTAGCCCTATTTTCCTGTTAGTCCTGATTTGTTTATATGGTTACTTATGATTTTTAGCTGTCACTCATTCATTAGTCTCTTTATTTATAATCCCCGTTCTGTTCAGTCATGGCCCGTTATTTTTGCTTTACCATTGTGTGTGCTACATTTGCTCATGCGATTCTCTGTGTATTCCTTGTGGATTTATAATTAAAAGACTATTTTTGGATAATACTCCTTTGTCGTGCGCTTAAAATAGCACAACACACTACAATTACAGCTGAAGAATTTTCAGACAATAAATGTATATTGAAACATGGCTATGGATAAACAAGGGAATACCATAGCAAAAGTAAATATGTATGTATTGTTCCATTGAAGTATTGCTATAATTACATCTGGATATTTGCTCACGCTGTGTTAAGGTCTTTCAGTTATTATTTAGATAATAATTTGCATTGACAATAGTATTTGCTCCCTTTTCTTTCTTTCTATTCTTTTCTTTTCTTTATTTTAGGTCTGTAATCAAAAAGGAAAGCCGATAGTACACATGCTTTAAAAGTCTGCCACTAACAACCTCTATCCTCTAACTGCCAGACCAAAAGACTGATGAATTATACTTTCTAATTAACAAAAGAATATGAGAGTCGTTTATATGAGAGGTTTGACCGAGACTTGGTCCAATTCCAGAATCACTCAAATATTTGTGTAATGCTATATTCATTGTCTTGTTTTGTTTTGGATAATGGCCATGCAGCACTAGAAAGACCACATGGGGAGATTGGCGGCTCCTAATCAAGAATGTACGATACATTGATGGTGAGGTATTGTCGGAGGACTATTCATCAAACTGGCATCTGATGATCAAATGCTGGCATTTCCATCTGCCTTGGGAATTTTTCATTGTTAATTTGCTTGCTATTTACATTCTACTGAGGGCCAGCTCAGAGGAGACACTGGCTCAGTTACACCATCATTAGACTTTAAAACCTTTCAAAATGATTTCTGTCATAATAGGGTTCATCCAAGGGATGCTATTACCGAAATGTTTATATACTTTTGCACATAATTTACTACTGTTCCTCAACTGTGTCAGTAAAAAGCATGCTTGAGATTAAATATGAGTTATGTGAAGAACATTCAGGTAAATTAATATTGAATGTTTGATTGTGTGCCATTTCCTGCTGAATTTTGTCAATTTATAAACAAAGTGTGAAAATATTACTTTAATGTGTGTATTTACAACAAGGTACACAGAGCCAGAAGTGCCCCTCCAATCCATAGCACAAATGTATTGTTTAAAATGATCATTCTCATTTATTACTCAAGAAGTTGAAATGGTCCCACAAAACCACAGTTGCAACACAGAATTCACTGAAGGCTATACAGTAAAAGCAGCAGTTTAACTGCTGACTTAATGACACTAAAGGGATCCTACATGGCATTCAGAGCTGATAGTGTAACAGTAGGAGAAAGCTTCTTCAGGTTATTCTGTCTGCAGGTCGAGGTTTTTACCTTTAGATAGTGTTTGAATTACGGCAGGAGGTGTTCAAGTGGGCCGAGACCTCCTAGTTATCATTAAAATCCAGCTGATGGGGAGCGACCCACCCATTCCGCTCCTCGGAATGTCATTTTAATTATTTATGGCAGCAGAAGGTTGACACACCTCCATGATGTTGAACTGATATTTCTAATTTAAAGTAATTATTAGAATCAACAATGTTAACTACAAAAATATAATGTGCTTCCCGTCATAGATATAGTAGGTAAGGGGTCATTAATTGGGGTTGTGTTTTGATTTTCCGCATTTCGTTCTATTTTGTGCACAGCACGCAAGCATATCAAACCTTTGACAATCTGCCAATTGAAATAATAGACTGCTGTGATGTCATTATATACCACTAAATACTATGAATTAATTAGTAGAAAAGTCAATTTCTACACTGCCTCTTGCCCTGGGACATGTAGGGATTTTCCCTGCTTTGCATTCTTTTGGCAAATAAACCCAGTGATATCAGCTTTGGTTGCCATGCAACCAGGGGCCTGTTCGGTTACGCATTTCGGAGGGAAGGGTTCATGGGTCCTCATATGGCTTGTTAACTGAGGGGGGTTACAGAGTATGTGTTAAATATAAAAACAAGATATATATTGTGTGTTTGATTGGTCCAGATGCTACAATTGAAATTGCATTACTCTCAGACCCTTGGTGCATACAGATAACACTAACAGTAGAACATAAATACAGATAGATACAGATTAAATATAAAATACAACTATACAAATAAGGTCATGTAAAAGAAAAAAAATAAAGCAGCACAAGGCACATGGCAGATAGAGTGCAAACCAGTGAAGTAAACAAACAGTGCAGATATAATTATTGTAGTGCAAAGAGCTTATTCAGACTGATTAAAGTGACAAAAATTTCAGAGAGTTCTTTATTTAAACTTTCAGAAGAGGTAGTTGAATGAGGTCAGTTCAATGCTGAATGGCGTAGTGAGCAGACCAATGCTGCACAAAGTGACTGGTGCAGGTCCCAGTGTGTTTGTGGGAGGGGGGAGTGGAAGGACCTGGGGATGTGGGAGCTGGAGGGGGGGTCTGGGGTTCAGAGTTCAGTGGTGCATGGAGCAAGAGAGGGGAGGTGGGGCAAGGTCGGGAGGGAGTTTGGACTCTCACTCTGATGGCTCCCATTCACTGCAGAGGATCCATTGATGAGCGAGTGATAGGCTAAATTTCATAAAAATTGTTCTGATAAACAGACAAACTCATGTACATCTTGGATGGCCTGAGGGTGAGTAAATATTCAGCAAATTTTCATTTTTGGGTGAACTATTCCTTTAATGACTGTCACACGGCTGCATGGACTCCACAAGTTTGTGTCTAACATGCTGATCATGTTCTCCAGCATTTTTTGAAAATGATCCAAAGCAAAGCTTTGTACTTAAAAGGAAACATTTGTGGAAAAAAAACTCCTAGATTTTTGATGTGATCCTAGACTTTATATACAAAGCAATGTGAAATAGTATTATTTATAAATATACATTTCACTTTTTACACTTTACATGGCATACATAAAAAATACCCATATTTCATCTTCACTTATAGATGAGGAATGTATTGCCTGCCAAAACATAAACACTGCTTCAACAATGAAACTTCAGCAAATCGCAGGAGTAATGATACACCGAGAACATACAACCACGTGAGATCAGCTCATTTTCTAAGACCTATTCCATTTTATTCTTACTTCACAACTTTAGGAACAAAAAACATGCCCTTAGATTCCTTTCCTTTTGAAATGTTATTGTGAATGTTCTGCTCTGTACTACTTTTCACCGGAACCTTGACAAACCTACTTGTTATGATGCCAGACAGAATCTTAGCAAGCTTTTTGGCTGACAATCTGAATCTGAAAACAAAGAAAACATTAATCTATACAATGCAATACCGTGGCATACTGAAAACACAAATGCTACCACTGAAGAACTGAGAACTCAACATTTAACTACAATGGAATTCTGCTTTTTTAGATGTTGTTTTTTTCTTTATTCAAGTCCATTCTTCTGTTAAAGGAGTGATAAGTGAATGAAACAGCAGGAGGTAAGAGGGGAAACAGCTTGAAAGCGTGATTGTAAGCTCCCTTCTTCGGATATTTGCCAAGATCAGATGAGAATGTTGGCTGGAGTTCTGCACCCGAACAGATTCCACAGGAAGGAAAGGAATTAATAATGGGAGACCATCACTGTGAACGCTGCTTTCATCATTGTAAACCGCTCTTCAAATGGAGAAGAAATAACCTTGAAGTATGAAGAGCAAAAAAAGAGAAACGGGAGGACAATATTGCGATTTCAATGTCTCATAACTTGTTCCTTATGACAGAATGGGAATTTGGTCTTTTCGCACTACAGGCTTTCAGAGAGGTCAGACATTATTTTTTGGATCCTCATATCACCACATTATCAACATATTAGCAGATATGTTGGCGCATTTTATAATATTAATACATTATTTGTTTTTAAAATAATTGTTTCTGGTAACAAAGAAATAGACAATATATTAAATGTTATTTATATAATGAGTAAATATCAAAGTGAGGTAAATTGATACCCAATTAAACCACAACATATTTGAAATAGTCTCATTATTATCGTCGCTTCAAAAAATGTCCTCCACTGAAAAAGCTATGAAAACATCCTGTATTATTGAAAGGGTTTTAGACAAATTGCAATTTAATTTATTTATTTTTATTCCTATCTTTTGTATTCCCTGTATCATTGAGCTTAGTTATGCACAGCTCAGTTATACAGCAGAAACACAGAAACCACAATATGAATCTTCACATGTAGTTATGTTGTTAACAGACAATACTGGTGATAATCTGCCTTTAAAAACTATACTCATTCATTCATTCACTCATTGTGTCCAACCATGACCTTTGCCACACATGTGAGATGTGTCATCCTTTTCTCATTTCATTACTTTTTCAGAAGCAGCTTTACTCATAAATCTGTTTTACAGTAATCAAATATGTTGCTTTTAACACTTCTTAGAGCCACAGATTTCATGCTTAATTCCTCTTTGCCACTCCTGAGCAGCTTGGCACTCAATAGCCTGCATTGTAAAGGGTTATAACAGACATATGGATCCAGATGCTTAAAGTTAGAAAACAGATTGCTTTGCTGGGAGGCATAAAGAAGGGTAAGGGCTGGGACGTGTCTAAGAGCTCTAGATGTCTAAAGACCCCCTCCCTCCCCTCTGCTCAATACAAATTTGAAATACAGCAGATGCATTACTTTATAAACAATATCTAAGACCTTTTCATTGGATTACATCAATCACTGAGGCAATTGCTGAATGAACATGGCGAGGAAAACAAAACAATGGTGTTCCTTAATCCAACTACATTGATTTGTTGGACAGCTGCTACATAACGGCATTTTTTTTCCTTCCCTTATTGAATCTGCCGATCTCAACAGTGATATGTAACCAACAGCTCTAGCCAAATGTTCTTGTGCTACTTTGAAGTGAATGGGAAAGTACTGCAATTAATGTGGGACATAAATGCAAAAATATAAATACACAAATATTCATCAATTAGCATAAGCTATAAGACTCTCTTAAATAAGTAAAACAAAATAAAAGTTATTGTTTGGCATTGATGGTTCCATGCAGAACCTTTAACATCCATGCAGACTTTCTACTGCACAATAATTTATTTTTAGTGGAAAAGTTCTTTGGACTGTTAAAATGTTCGACATACAAAAAAAAAAAAAAAAAAGGTTATTTGCTCAAAAAAGGGT